GGCACAGAAAAGGAGCAGGATCTATGGTAGCACTAGTGTGGGCTAGCCTAAGAGCAGATACTTTTTCGATAAAAAATTTAAGAAATGTATCACAGAGAGTAGTCGATGGCACAATTGGAGAAGCATCACAGGGATTAATGATCGAGTTGAGGACATTAAAAAGAACCTGAGGTTTATGGCTGTTTTTGGAGATGAACAGAGAAATGTGCTCTGTTTTGGCTGCTTTGACTGCCGTCTGGTAGTCGGAAAGGCAAGCACGAAGGATTTCTAAGGAGACATGGAGTTTATCCTTTTTCCATTTTCTCTCTGCACGCCTGCAAGCGCGTCTAAGAGCACGAGTACAGTCATTGAGCCACGGCTCTCTTAGAGAACTTTGGTGCGTCTAAGCGTAAAAGGAGCATCAGAATCCAGTATTAGTGTACATGTCGAGTCAAACATGGAGATAAGCTCATCAGCACTAAAAACACAGTTCACCTCTAATTTACAGATCGGAGAAGCATTAAAAACATCAGAAAACTGTGAGGCAGTCAAGGGGTTAATTGAACGCAGACGACGCGCAGGGGCACGTGATTCGACTCCTGCGGAAGGGATCGAGGTTGTAAACAGAACCGGTAAATGGTCTGAGATACGCGTTGCTGCACAGATTTCATCCACAGATACAGACAGTCCAAACGATAATACTAAATCACGGCCAATCACAGCCACGGACTGAATGAGACCGAAAGAATCGAGGAGATTTAAAAAGTCCCTAACCAGAGGTTTGGACTCGCAGCACACATGGACATTAAAGTCTCCACAAATCAAAACACGATCATATTTCACCATGATCCCGACAGAAAGTCAGAAAAGTCAGTAATGAAATCCTTATTGCACTTTGGCGGACGATACACGACTGCACAGAGCACAGACGAGGCCGCGTTCAGTTCAAAAAGGTGCAACTCAAAGCTAGCATAGCTAGTTACAGGGTGAAGCAATCAGCATTGGAGGCTAGCTCTAAACACTGATGCTATACTAAGTGTTTGATGGTTACAGAACCACAGCTGTTTCTCTTCAGTCCTCAGGTGAGAACATAATGAGCTGTTTAAAATCATTCATCCTGATGCGTCACATCTTTATGTCGTGATGTGAGATGTTTACATTTGTTTTTATAACTTTACAGCATGTTGTTATTTTATTCATTAAGGCGATGATGCAGGGAAGGTGACTACAATATCACCAACATGGACAACAGTGATAATGAGAGCAGCCGGAGAGACGACCAACACATCTGAAGACAATCAAACAGAACAAGAGGACAACAATAAAGGTAGAGAGAGAACAGAAAATATACATTCACAGTTAGAAAAGACATGCACACATGCAGTATATACACACCTGGATGTACTGGAAGAGGAGAAGGAGTGGACTCAGATCCAACATAGTTTATAAAGGTAACATTTTATGTAGATACAAAAGAAGAACTGTGTGGATTATAAATAAGTTGTGTTTGTATCTGTATGTTCTGTACGTGTCCCTGTGTGAAGGTGAAGAGGAAGCATTAAACAGCCAAGAGACATTTTGTTCATTCACATTTGAGAGATAAAGAGATAGAAACCTCTGACTATATTTAACTCTTCTAACTTCTCTCTCCAGGTCGCTTGAGGCTCATCATGGTGTCTGTGGGTTTAGCAGCTCTCATCATCACCGTGGTTACAGTCAACATGTGGACAAGAGCTAAAGGTGAGATCATTCACAGATAAAATAAAAAAATATAAATAAAGGTGAAATCTAATATCAACTTGTTTTGTCCTTTTTTCAGGGAGCAAAGCACAGACGGAAGAAAACATGGTAAGTTTAAACATTGAATAATTAAATGTGTGTATTATTTGCCATCCAATTTTAACAATGGATATATGCATGGGCGTAGGAAGCATCCTGAATGTGGGGGGGACATTTTTAACGGGGGGTGTGGGGGCGAAAAAAAAAATAGATTTCCTGTATTCTGGTGCATTTTAACAGGTGGTTTGATACTTTTATGTGGCTATACTAGCATGAGGAAAATGATGGGTACATTTTGTAATTTCATCCAGTAGTAAAGAAAGGAAACATATTTGATTATTAATTCAGAGCCGTCTTTGAATTAATAAAAAGCAGTTTAAATGCCTATTTTTTGTACATTTATATACAACAATAAATATTTGTGAGTGCATTGAGAGATATTGTTGTGGAGAGTCATTTATATATAAATCGCAAAATACATTTGTGAATCCTTCTGTGAGCATTTATTAATATTGAGACTGATCTGACTCCATACAGATGATAAGTTCACCTAGGAATGGTATCATTGACTTAAATGTTCAAATAAATGTTGCTCTTCTGTCTATATTGGTCATATGATGCCCCTTGACTGAAATGTTTCCTGTTCAATATCCCCACTGATTTCCTTAAAATCCTGGGATGAGAGTCCACATCACAATTTACTCTCAACTGTCATTTCCCTTTCATCACTCACCTCAGCAATGGACCTCTCTCCACTGTCCCTGTATTCTGCCTCTGACTCACTCTCAAGTGCATAGATGTCAAGAGAGGTGGTGAAGTGATAATTATTTATTGAGCAGTATACTCTTTCACATTGAATCATAACAAGTCATACTGAATGTAAATACAACGGACTCTAAAGTAAGTCCCAGTCTGTGACATTTGACATTTTGAAGACTCAAAGTCCCAAGCAGTAGGTAGAATATTAGCTAGTCTATGTAATGTGCACAGAAAATAAATAGTTAACTGAATACTGGGATGGAAATAGCCTATAAGCAATCAGTAAAACATAAACACACACAAAAAGCTTCTGAATGATAAGAAGTATAATTAAAACATAATGCACATTACCATTTTGAGAGAGAGTACCTAAGTTAAAGAACTCAGAAAAGAATCTCTTATCGAACTGAGGCTCCAGTAAAACACACTGACTGCGTCTCTACATGGACATCAGTAAGCCGTTTATGAGTATTATCCCGGTTATGATCATATTGGGGATATGGTGTTGATATATATATATATACATGAGCACAGAGAGATTGGGTTATTCATGTTCCCTGTTTACATGATAAATACTAGTAACCTGGCATTTCGATGCCTTTTCTCATCTAAACTATTCAGTATTTGTATCTCTCTATCATGACATAAAGACGAAACTCCTCTCCAGAAGTGAGACGCCGCCATCACTGTTAACTGATTAACTACTACCAGCTGATGACTTACTTTCCTCTTCTTTGAAAAAAATGTTCTTATGTCCATGTTGTCTGGGGGAGAAAACATATCAAACCAAGAGATTGTCAGCTTTGATTTTCGCTGTACTAACCATTTCCTGAACATTTGGTGTGTGTGCCTTACCTCCGCTACCGGCATCGCTTCATACAACAGATCTGAGCTGTCCAACTATGACAACACTCCTTGAACATGCGTGCACTATGTGAGAATCTGCCTTGGTACAAAGTAGCAGTGAAAACATGGTACGGAGTTTCATTGATTTGGGCATTCTCTCAATAAGCAAGTGGAATGGATTTTATTTGATAGTGAAGCACTGACACAGCGCTCTACTAAGTGCGGCGAGTGGATAGACCTATTCACGGACTTTCCGCATAGTAAAAGTGGGGGGGTCTAAACTAATCATTTGAAAAAGTGGGGGGGACTTGTCCCACCCTCATTTAATGGCTGCGACGCCCATGGATATATGACAGGCAGAAGAAGATGCAACACAAGATTAATTTAGAATATTTATGTATCCAAATTAAATGATCTCAGAAAAGCTAAACAGTTAATTTAGCAAAATAACAAAAATCAGCAACTCATTAAGGATGCTTCAAAGTGACCATGTAGTTGAATCAACAGCTCTTTATAATGCTTACAATTAAATTAAATTCAGCCAGTGGTAGCATGTAGATGTTAAAGAGAAGAGGCCCCAAGACAGAGCCCTGAGGAACCCCACATGTCATTTTTGTAAATTCAGATGTGTAGTTACCTATAGAAACAACGTTTTTCCTGTCCTTTAAGTCCCACCCAGTTTTCCAGTCGTTCTAGAAATATTTTGTGGAAAATAAACATAAAACAGGAAAACAAAGACAGATTGTGACGAGTGAAAATACTCAAGTAAAGTTTTAAAAATATGTACTTAAGTGCAGAACCTGAGTAAATGTACTTACTTGTGTTTTTACTAGGGCTGTCAAGTTAACGCGTTAATAACGCGCTAACGCAAAAAAAAAATGAACGCCACTAATTATTTTAACGCGATTAACGCATGTGTATTTTTTGTCCTCTGCCGCCCCGCCCCGTAGTTTCAGAGCACATCGAGTTTAAAATATAATCTACAAGCTGATGCTGACAGCCCCGCTGATGCTGACAGCCCCGCTCCTGCCGCCCGCTTGTGGCAGACCACACTTCCACGCTCACCGGCAGGCCCGGACTGGCCATCGGGAGGACCGGGAGGGTGTGTGTATGTGTGGCGTGACTCGCGAGTGAGGCACACCTTACGTGTTGTTGTTGTTGTTAGCATCTGGTGCTAGCTAGCTGCGCTAACGGATATAAGGAGCTGTTTCAATGAAAACAGAGGAGCGACATTTTGCCGACAACTGCGCCGAGCACTTGACTTTATGCAGGTAGCCAGACAGTGGGACATTGTACGAAAGCACACTCAACACGGATAGTGTGCGCAACATGATTGCAGCGTCCAGGCAGCTCCCGTTCGAGCATATATGCCTTGAGCTGCACATAGCTCCAACGATCCATCACAGTGTCTCCACATCCTCACACACAAACACACACACACATACACACACACACACACACACACGCGAATATTTGTAATGTTCAGAGGTTGTTGCGTTTAATATTCATCAGAATATTTGTCATTGTTCAAATGATAATAAACAAACATATAAAGCATATTTGTCCACTCATATGTTGATAAGAGTATTAAAAACTTGAAAAATATCCCTCTAGGTACTGTAAGGGACTGAGAGGCAGAGTAGTGGGAGGCACCTACATTCCCAATAGGTGGCTCCACCCGCTGCCAATTAGCAGTATTGGGACCAGGTGTGGAGACCTCACACCTGGTGCTAATCACTCCCTCAAGGGAGACAAAGCAGACAGAGTTGCTCAGTGGTGTGTGGCACATGGAGGGAGCAGGAGGCTCCCAGCGTGAGGAAACATTTTTGTAAGCTGGTAAGTCGGTTAGCGGCCCGGCTACGTTAGCCTTTGTTTAGTTAAAGGTATTTTTGAGTTTGTTAGCAATAAAGCCTCTTTTTGGATTTGAACACTGCCTCTGTCGTGATTGCTGCACTACCACTTTTCTCTTTATCTGCCCTGTCCTGTTACACTGGTGGAGAATGCGGGCATAAAGACTCTATTGGTGGTGTTGCAGTCAGAACAATTTTTTTTTTACGTTTTCAAGATGGAGGATGTACTAAAGGAGTTGGTGCGTATTTCTACTGAGCAGCAGACTCTGCAACGGCAGATGATACAGGAGCAGCAGAAACAGAATGCACTTCTCCACATGGAGGTCCAAAAATGCCTTACAGCAGCCTCTCCTGTCCAGAGGGAAGCAACCATGCAGCCTAACCCAGGTCGATTCATCCCCAAAATGACAGAGAGTGATGAGATAGAGGCCTACTTAACGGCCTTTGAGCGCACAGCTGAAAGAGAGGGCTGGCCAAGGGACTCCTGGGCTGATCTGGTTGGACCGTTCCTCCTGGGCCCGGCACAGCAAGCTTACTTCGACCTCCCTCCGGACCAAGCAAAGGATTACGTCGTCTTGAAGAAGGAAATCCTGGCGAGGTATGGCTACAGCTTAGCAGCAAGAGCCCAGCGGTTCCATGAATGGAAATACAAGCCAGAGTTGTCAGCCAGGGCCCAGATGTATGACCTAGGCCGGGTAACCAGAGCCTGGCTGACATGCAACCCCGAAAAGTTAAGTGTTTTAGAGAGGATAATGATGGACAAATATATTCGGTCTCTGCCCTATGAGATCAAGAAAATGACAAGCCAGCAGAATCCAGCCGGTCTGGATGAGTTGGTTAACGTAGTGGAGAGCCACGTGGTCACAGCGGACCTGCTTAAGTCCACACGACCAGACACCGAGTGGGGCCGGAAAGTCAGTGGGGAAGCATCACGGACTAGACGGGCACGAGAACCGCGATGGGAACCAGAAGAGGTAAGGCGACGACAGTCCTACCTGCCAGAGGGCCAACCGCGTTGCTACCAGTGTGGGGAGACAGGCCATATTGCCCGGGACTGCCCAGGGAAGGATGAGCTAATGCCGACCGCCAACTCATCTGGTGCAAGGCCCTGCCACCTTCTTGACTCTTGCTGGGTACAGGAAAGCTCCCTGGCTCAAATGATACCAGTCAAAGTAAATGGAAAAGATGCAGAGGCGCTAGTGGACTCAGGAAGTGTGGTAACCCTCATTCAACCCCACCTCCTCGACCATTTGCCATCTGAAGAGACTGTGCCCGTCTCCTGTGTCCATGGGGACACTAAATTATACCCCACTTGCCTCATCCACCTTACCACAGTTAAAGGCAGCTGTGAGATGAAAGTGGGGGTGGTTCCTTCCCTACCAGTCCCAGTCTTGGTGGGGCGAGACTGCCCACTATACAAGCGCCTGCGGCACCAGAAGGAGGTGAGTCCCAAAAAGCACAAGCGTGCCAAAGGAAAACGAGAGAGAGGACAAACTGCCACCCAGGGTACTTCTCCTCAGCAGTTCCCCAACGTTGTGTGTGCTGTGCCGGAGGAGCAGAGAGGCAACCAATCTTCCAGTGCAGACGAGGCAAATGATAACCCTTTTGTTGCTTTCCCTGGAGACCTAAGCACAGGTCATGAGGAGGGGGAAGTCTCATTGCTTCCAAGTTTGAAGGGCCAGTTCGGGACCGCCCAGATGGAAGACCCCAATCTGTTGCATGCACGCAGCAATGTTACGGAAATAGAGGGAAAACCAGTTCCAGGAGTGGGTGAGCTTACATGTCCTCATTTCCTAATAAAAAATAATCTGTTATACTATGCCAAAGAGGTTGAAGGTCAGCGAAGAGACTTGTTGGTTGTCCCAAAACAATATGTGTCCACAGTGTTGCATCTGGCTCACAGCCATGTCCTAGGGGCCCACCTAGGGGTTGAGAAGACAAGGCAGCGGATTGGGAGCCGGTTCCACTGGCCAGGGGTGGTAAGGGCTATAGAGGATTATTGTCGCACCTGTGTTGAATGTCAAAAGATGAGTCCCAAGCCACACTTTAAAAGTCCCCTAATACCTCTACCAATAATCGATGTACCGTTTTCTCGCATTGCCATGGACTTAGTGGGGCCGCTGGTGAAGTCTGCCAGGGGACATCAGTATATTCTTGTGATCCTTGACTATGCAACCAGGTACCCGGAGGCCATTCCCTTGAGGAACATGACAACGAGAGTGATTGCACGGGAGCTGCTTCACCTGTTCAGTCGAGTTGGGATTCCTAAAGAGATGCTAACAGACCAAGGCACTCCCTTCATGTCCAAGATAATGAAGGATCTCTGCAGGCTCTTCAAGGTAAAGCAGCTTCGTACATCTGTCTACCATCCGCAGACAGACGGATTGGTAGAACGCTTTAACAAGACGTTGAAATCCATGTTAAAGAAGGTTGTTGACAAGGATGGTCGTAACTGGGACCAGCTTCTGCCCTATGTCCTGTTTTCAATCAGGGAAGTTCCACAGGCTTCAACCGGTTTCTCCCCCTTCGAGCTGCTGTATGGCCGACAGCCCAGAGGACTTCTCGACATCGCGAAGGAAGCCTGGGAGGAGCAACCAAGCCCCCATCGGAGCCTGATTGAGCATGTAGAGACGATGCAGACGCATATGAAAGATGTTTGGCCCATGGTCAGAGAGCACATGGCTCAAGCCCAAGAAGCCCAGAGGAAAGTGTATAACAGAGGTGCCCAACCACGTGAGTTCCTGCCCGGGGATAAAGTGCTTCTCCTGGTCCCCACCACAGAACACAGATTCCTGGCATCGTGGCAAGGTCCCTATGAAGTGACAGAGAAGGTGGGACCAGTCAACTACAAGGTACGCCAACCTGGCCGTCGCAAACCATCCCAAATATACCATGTTAACCTGTTAAAGAAATGGTATGCCCGAGAGGCACTGCTGTGTTCTTGTTCCCTGTTTGTATCCCCTTCTCCAGACCATGAGGTGGCCGAAGTTGAATACGGTCCAGGGCTATCCAAAGCTCAGTTACAGCAAACCAAGGAACTGGTTCAGCAGAGTTTGGATGTGTTCTCACTACGACCTGGACGCACAACGATGGTGGAACATCAAATCCACACAGAGCCTGGCCAAAAGGTAAAGATGCGACCCTACCGGGTGCCGGAGGCAAGACGGACGGCCATTGAGCAAGAAGTGCAGAAAATGCTGGCTATGGGGGTGATTGAAGAATCTCACAGTGAGTGGACCAGCCCTGTCGTTCTGGTTCCTAAGCCAGACAAAACCAACAGGTTTTGTAATGATTTCAGAAAATTGAATGAAATCTCCAAGTTTGATGCGTATCCTATGCCCAGGATAGATGAGCTAATTGATCGGCTTGGGGAAGCCAGGTATATCAGCACTCTGGACTTGACGAAAGGGTATTGGCAGGTCCCACTTGAAGCTGCCTCAAGAGAGAAGACGGCCTTCGCCACCCCCACAGGGCTGTACCAGTACACTGTGCTTCCCTTCGGGCTTCATGGAGCACCAGCCACGTTCCAGAGACTGATGGACAAGGTTCTGAGGCCACATCGTGAGTATGCAGCTGCCTATTTGGATGACGTTGTTATCCACAGTGACTCATGGGATAGCCATCTCATAAGGCTTGCAGCAGTGCTGGAATCTCTCCGCAGGGCGGGCTTGACAGCTAATCCAAGAAAATGCAAGCTTGGACTAGAGGAAGCCGAATACCTGGGCTTCACCATTGGGCGGGGCAACGTTAGACCACAAGAAAGGAAGGTTCAGGCGATCCAGGACTGGCCACGGCCGTCAACAAAGAAACAGGTGAAAACATTCTTGGGTCTGACGTCCTATTATTGCCGTTTCATCCCAAACTTCTCCACAGTAGCCTCTCCCCTTACAGACCTGACCAGAGACTCACAGCCGCTAATGGTCAAGTGGACAGGAGAGGCTGAACACGCCTTTGAGGAACTTAAGAGGGCTCTCTGCGCACGGCCGGTGTTGGTGACCCCAGACTTCAGCCGGGGGATGATTGTGCAGACGGATGCGTCAGAGGTGGGCATAGGAGCAGTACTATCCCAGGAGGTTCACGGTGAGGAACACCCCGTCATGTACATCAGCCGGAAGCTGAACACAAGGGAACAAGTGTATGCTACTGTGGAGAAAGAAGGCCTAGCAATAAAATGGGCGCTTGAGCGCCTCCGGTATTACCTCTTGGGACGTCACTTCACTCTGGTAACTGATCATGCCCCACTGATCTGGATGGCAAATAAAAAAGACACAAACGCTAAAATAGGAAGGTGGTTTGTCTCACTACAGGAGTTTAACTTCTCTATCATCCACAGAGCCGGAGCCAAGCATGGGAATGCAGATGCCCTGTCCCGTAGAGATGCCCTGTGGACCATGGTCACCTCTCCTAGGCCAGAACTGAAGGGGGGGGTGTGTAAGGGACTGAGAGGCAGAGTAGTGGGAGGCACCTACATTCCCAATAGGTGGCTCCACCCACTGCCAATTAGCAGTATTGGGACCAGGTGTGGAGACCTCACACCTGGTGCTAATCACTCCCTCAAGGGAGACAAAGCAGACAGAGTTGCTCAGTGGTGTGTGGCACATGGAGGGAGCAGGAGGCTCCCAGCGTGAGGAAACATTTTTGTAAGCTGGTAAGTCGGTTAGCGGCCCGGCTACGTTAGCCTTTGTTTAGTTAAAGGTATTTTTGAGTTTGTTAGCAATAAAGCCTCTTTTTGGATTTGAACACTGCCTCTGTCGTGATTGCTGCACTACCACTTTTCTCTTTATCTGCCCTGTCCTGTTACACTGGTGGAGAATGCGGGCATAAAGACTCTATTGGTGGTGTTGCAGTCAGAACAATTTTTTTTTACGTTTTCAAGATGGAGGATGTACTAAAGGAGTTGGTGCGTATTTCTACTGAGCAGCAGACTCTGCAACGGCAGATGATACAGGAGCAGCAGAAACAGAATGCACTTCTCCACATGGAGGTCCAAAAATGCCTTACAGCAGCCTCTCCTGTCCAGAGGGAAGCAACCATGCAGCCTAACCCAGGTCGATTCATCCCCAAACTTCTCCACAGTAGCCTCTCCCCTTACAGACCTGACCAGAGACTCACAGCCGCTAATGGTCAAGTGGACAGGAGAGGCTGAACACGCCTTTGAGGAACTTAAGAGGGCTCTCTGCGCACGGCCGGTGTTGGTGACCCCAGACTTCAGCCGGGGGATGATTGTGCAGACGGATGCGTCAGAGGTGGGCATAGGAGCAGTACTATCCCAGGAGGTTCACGGTGAGGAACACCCCGTCATGTACATCAGCCGGAAGCTGAACACAAGGGAACAAGTGTATGCTACTGTGGAGAAAGAAGGCCTAGCAATAAAATGGGCGCTTGAGCGCCTCCGGTATTACCTCTTGGGACGTCACTTCACTCTGGTAACTGATCATGCCCCACTGATCTGGATGGCAAATAAAAAAGACACAAACGCTAAAGTAGGAAGGTGGTTTGTCTCACTACAGGAGTTTAACTTCTCTATCATCCACAGAGCCGGAGCCAAGCATGGGAATGCAGATGCCCTGTCCCGTAGAGATGCCCTGTGGACCATGGTCACCTCTCCTAGGCCAGAACTGAAGGGGGGGGTGTGTAAGGGACTGAGAGGCAGAGTAGTGGGAGGCACCTACATTCCCAATAGGTGGCTCCACCCGCTGCCAATTAGCAGTATTGGGACCAGGTGTGGAGACCTCACACCTGGTGCTAATCACTCCCTCAAGGGAGACAAAGCAGACAGAGTTGCTCAGTGGTGTGTGGCACATGGAGGGAGCAGGAGGCTCCCAGCGTGAGGAAACATTTTTGTAAGCTGGTAAGTCGGTTAGCGGCCCGGCTACGTTAGCCTTTGTTTAGTTAAAGGTATTTTTGAGTTTGTTAGCAATAAAGCCTCTTTTTGGATTTGAACACTGCCTCTGTCGTGATTGCTGCACTACCACTTTTCTCTTTATCTGCCCTGTCCTGTTACAGTACATTTAGAACAGATAAAAAATGTGCGATTAATTTGCGATTAATCGCGATTAACTATGGACAATCATGCGATTAAATATTTTAATCGACTGACAGCCCTAGTTTTTACCATGTCTTTGTTCCATGTTGACAGGAGCAGAATGATGAAGATGAAGATGAGGTGAACTATGAAAACGATGGAGGGCCTTCTGCCTCTGTGTGACTGATCAACAACATCAACTCCCCTCAGAGTCCACTGCTGTCAAACATCACCTCCTCATATTCTACAGGAGAAAACAGGAGAACCATGAGATCATTTGAACATTTCTGATGACTGAGAACACCTGAGCCCCATGAGAGGCCCTTCAGAAACTCACCTCCATATGATAGGAAACATAGCTTATTATATTCATTCATTTCTGATTTGACGTCCTTTAATTATGCTCTCACATTCCCATACATAGTTATACTACTGCTTACACTTAAAACATCAACTTCCAGCTGCTTATCATTACCATTACTTGTACTCACAGTATATATTTTATTAGTATACCTTCACTTCTTACTGTAACTGCTGCACATACAAGTGTTGGGTTGAATTCACAAAATATCTAAATTGTAAAATGATCCATAAAATGTTTTTGTTAATTGTGTTCTCTAAGGGAAATCAGTCACCCTAGTGTCGATTTAATAACTTTAATAATGGCTCTTTTTAATCCATATTGTAATTGCTGCACATGCTGTATATCTGATCAATAGTCTATACAATATAATTACTATATTCACTTTTGACTATATATGTATTCCTAAACCTGAAATGCCTTCTGTTTCTAAGGATGTTTTAATTAGCTTTAGTCTTAATGGAATACTGTATGTTACTCTCCTTGTTTTACTACAGCTTTAATGATATATAATCCAAATAAAAAGAGAACTTTTATTCAATTTTATAATGAATTGTGTTTCTCTCTCTATCTCCAACACACTGACAACACAACGCTTTGTTGGGTTTAACCCCTCTCTTTGACCTGGCTCTCACTTTGTAAACAACATACAGTTTGTGTCAGAGCCAAGGAAGGTGTTGCACATTTAGTGGAGCTGTGGTGATATCCTGGGATCAGGTATAAGGCAAGAAAGAAAGCGATACTGGTTGATTTGACTTACGTAAGAGCGTCGTAGAGGAAGCTCTAAGAATGGCACATCAAGAAGAGGTTAAAAACCTGGCTAGGTGGCTATAGACCTTTTCAAATCGCCTGTTCAACATCCTGTCAGCTTTCAGTTTGATCCTCCGGGTTCAGTCAGCGGTTCATCTGTTGAGCAGATCCCCATTTTGCCAGTTCTTCCTTGGCTCCAGAAACACCTCAGTTTTATCTTTGACTTAAAGTGGACCTATCATGCTATATTATAATAATATATTGTAGGGCCATACCTATATAAGGTATATTTATACGTTTTCTTTTTCAAAATACCAAACAGATCATGCATTTTAGCCATGCCTCATTTTGCTCTATTTTGCTCTCCTCCACCCCTGTCTTTGCATGCGCTGCAGCTGACCACGCCCCCCTGCAAAGGAGGGGCTGAGTTACGAGCGTCATGTTACCATGCTGTTACCATGCTGTTACCATGCCACGGCAACCTCTCATTCCCCTGATAGGTGGAGAGTTGGCCATATAGGCGGAGCTCCTCCGTCCTGACGTCAGAGAAATGTTCAAATCTGGATCAGTCTCTATCAGATCCGTTGCAGCCCCGTTTTTAGAGATTTGGGTATGGAGGAAAAGAGAGAGGGTTGTGTTTTCTGACACTTGGTGAGTTCCCTGGAACAGCGGGGACACATATTCATGTATAAAAGACGTACAAAGCTGCATTTTGCATGATAGGTACCCTTTAATTGAAGAAAGTTCTGACACATCCAGTCATTGATTTGTTCAATGCACTTACTCTTACTTACTTGTTGTTTTTCATTATATGAGCTAGTGGTAGCATGTAGATGTTAAAGAGAAGAGGCCTACAGATGGAGCCTTGAGGTACCCCACGTGTCATATTTGTCAACTCAGATGTATAGTCACCTATAGAAACAAAGTGTTTCCTGTCCTTTAAGTAGGATTCAAACCAATTTAAGTTCAGACTCATGTTGATCTGCAACAGACTTTTTATCCTTCTGTCAAGATG